ACCTACCTACCTCCTCTCTCTCTCTCTCTCTCTCTCTCTCTCTCTCACCAATCAATAGGAATGCCAAACGAGAGAAAGAGTATATTTAGAGCATAGTTACTGGAAGCGCCCCCGGGGTGGCATGGTTCTAGCTCCATAATCCAGATCCTACGCTTCAAAGCAGGGATCTCAACCAGAACTCTCGTTTTTTTTTTCAAGGGAGCTCGCTCCCTTTCCACAAAATCTCGATTCCTTATTTGTAGGGACCTTGATCCCACCTAATCACGGTGCTTGATCCCTCTATTTGTGGACCTGAACCCCAACCAGGTTTGGATCACGATCCCCCAATTCAGTGATCTCAATCTGTATATTTATGGATCTTCATCTTTATCGGGATCTCAATCCCTATATTTGTGGACCTCCATCCTTATCATCCATTGATCCCAAAGGACCCAAACATCAAGAATTAAATTACCTACATTACCACTAGAGTTGTAAAATGTTTAAATTGTATCAAGAATTAAAACAATTAAAGCATTTAACACATTCGGAAGAGGGAACCCCATCTGTTGCATGATGGGATCTACTTTTCGTAAGCATTGGGACAGCGATCCTTTATAATTATAGATCGAGGACCCCAATTTATACAGATCATGGTCCCTAGGTATTTGGCAATGTTTAAAAAAAGGGACCACCCGGCGCCTACGCACTCGCCTAGGCACCCAAAATAAATTTTCCGCACGCCTTGACCTGGGCGCCCAACACGGGCGACTGTACCTGCGCAGGCGCCCAACACAGTTTACGATTTTTTTTTTTTACTTCGCCCAAAAGGGCAAAGGGGGTCATTTTGACCCCAAAGTTTGTATAAAAGAAGTTTAGGGGTTTATTTTTCAATCCCAAACTAAAAAAAACAAGAAACCCTCAATCTTAAACTTATTCATGAGAATCTAAAGCAATTGCTAAGAATCTAAGTACTTCTTGCGGATTGAAAAAGTTTGTTTTTCTAATTGAAATTATTTTTATGGCGCTATTGGTGGTATTAGAAGACTTTTAAGTTGATTTGTAGCTCGACTGAGATAACCAACATCGAATATCATAGATTGGGTAGAAAAGGTCAGTCTGTAATCCTTATTTGAGATTTATTTTTTCAATTTGAGATGTCTTCTGCGGTGTCTACTAGGGGTGGAAATCCGGAATGGAAATATTGAGTTAACCCGGATAAGAATGACAAAAATAAAATTATGTGTAATTTCTGTGGTCATGTTTCTAATGCCGGCATAAATAGATTTAAGAAACATCTTGCGGTTATTAGAGGTGATGTCGCCTCATGTAAAAAAGTCCCAGATCTTGTAAAGAAAGAAATTTTGGAGTACATTGAAGCTGAAAAGAGTAAAAAAATTGCAAAAAGAAAAGATATAGCAGAATTAAAGTCAGGGGTTCATATTTTTTATGATAATATTGAAATTGAAGAAGATGATGATGAAGAGGGGAAAGAAGAGGTAGCCATGGTTCATACTCAGAGCTCTAAGACCAAGAGGGCTTTTGGGTCTAAGAAGGCTCATACGAGAGGGCTTATGATAGTTTTTTTACACCTAGTCCTGAGACAGTAATTGAAAAAGGTAAGGGAAAGGGGAAAAAACCGGTGACAATTGAAAATAAGTTCAAAAAGGAAGATAGAGCCAGAGTGATTCAGTATATTGCTCGGTGGTTTTACCATGCGGGCATTTCTTTTAACACTGTTTGTTTGAATAGCTTCCATACAATATTGGAAGCAATTGGGCAATTTGGGTCAAGTGTGAAAGCTCCAACTCCTTAGGAGATTAGAGAGCCACTACTAAAGAAAGAAGTCGAGTACACTAATGTATATCTCATGACTCATAAGGAGGGATGGGCTAAATTTGGGGTTTTTCTTTGATGACAGATATGTGGAGTGATAGGAGGAGAGGAGTAACATGAATTTATTAGTAAATTGTCCTACGAGTACAATGTTTTTGAGCTCAATCGATGCTTCCAATGATGTTCATGATGCGCATTATATATTTTCTTTCATTGATAAGGGTATTGAGGAGGTTGGGGAGGAACATGTAATTCAAGTGGTCACAAATAATGCTGCTCCCAATCTAGCTGCAGGTCATTCGCTTCGACAAAAGAGGCCTCGCATATTTTGAACTCCTTGCGCTGCACGTTGCGTAGGTCTTATGCTTGAGGCAATTGGTAAATTGCCTCATATTAAAAGAATTATTTTTAAGGCTAAGGATGTTACAATCTTCGTATACAGTCACATACTTACCCTTAGCATGATGCCCAAGTTTACAGAAAAGATAAAGCTAGTGAGGCCGGGGGTCACTAGATTTGCCACTGCCTACCTTAATCTACAGAGCATGTATAAGAAGAAGATCACATTAAGGTTTATGTTTGCTTCAGAGGAGTGGAGTAGGTGTAAGTGGTCTAGAGATGCCAAGGGAAAGAAGACACGAGATATTTATTCTTTCGAAATATTTTTGGCGTGGGGTGAAGCATGCGATATTAGTATTTCTTCCCTTGGTGAAGGTCTTGCGCTTGGTTGATGCTGATAAGCCCTCCATGGGCTTTATATATGATGCAATGGAAAGGGTTAAGAATGAGATTGCTGAGAATTTGGACGATGATGCAACGAAGTATGCCCCAATTTGGGAGATTATAGATGATAAATGGGATAGGCAGCTCCATAGACCATTGCATGCAGCGGGGTACTACTTGAACCCCAAATTTTTTATGCAGATGCAGATATTGAGTCAAAAGGGGCAATTGTGGATGGTTTTAATGAGTGCCTTGAGAAATTGGTTCTTGATCCAAATATCCAAGATAAGATATCAATTGAAGAGCTAATTTCGTACAAATGTTCTTTGATGTCATTTGGGAAAGATAAGGCATTAAGGCAGAAAAACAATGACAAACCAAGTAATATTCTTTTGACTTATGTACCTTTGTTTTATAAAATATAAATTTATAATTTTCTTTCAAGTTCTGATAATGTTAAATACCTAAATTTATTATAAAGGTTGCCCACATATTGCAGCTCAACGGTGGAGACAATATGGGAGTAGCGCTCCAAACCTCCAGAAGATGGTTATGTGGATCTTGAGTTTGACAACTACCTCTTCTGGTTGAGAGCGCAATTGGAGTTCGTTTGAGATGGTATTTTACTATTTTACTATTTTAAAATAATAAAATTTTATATGCTTTTTTTGTTTATAAGTTCATATTCATTTTGTAATATAGATTCATAAAACGTACGAAGATCATAGACCTCTAGTAGTTACTTATGCATCAGTTTTCCTTATAGATGCATACAAAGAGAAGAAATAGGCTTGAGCAAAGGAAGCTCAATGACTCGGTTTTTGTTAGAGAGAATCAAAGGCTCAAGGAGAAGAAAAATCAACCAAAGAAGGACCCTCTCTCTTCGAAAGACATGGAGAATGCTTCAGACCCTGGTACTGAGGAGGTCTTCCCTGGGGAGGGTTTGACATGGGAAATGATCGAGGAGGCTTCAGGGCAAGCTTCTAATCCTAGGAGGGCCACTCGAGCAACTTCTTCTGTTGGTACTTCACGAAGGGAGATAGGGGAAGAGGAGGCAGATTCAGAAGAATCTCTAGAAGAAGAGGAATATGTTGAAGAGGGTGATGATTCTGATGATGACGACCTCAATTCTGATGCAGATGAAAGCAATGAAGATGATAATTCTGATTCTTATTGATGTCTTGATTGTCTTCTCCTTTCTTTTGAAGAACTTTAATACTTTATTGCACCATCTTGGTTTGGGCTATAGACATTTGGAGTTTGAAAGATTTTATTTAGTTATGTGGTTTGTAATTTTTTTGCCTTTTTGGACTATTTCGTTGTGTGGTTTACTAGTTTTTTTATAGTTTTGAAAGTCAGTTTGTTGATGACTTGGAGAGTTTGAGACTTGGATGTTATTATGGTTTATTTTATAGATAGAGAATATGGAGAATATGGGAGTTGGAGACCTTACAGTGCCTATTAGACTTTTAAATGTTTTGTATGGTTCAAAATTTGGAATAAATTACAAATTTTGACACAAATATGTGCATATATGTGCATTTGGATAGCAAATATATAAAAAAAACTTAAGAATTTGCACTGCATGGCGCCCGAGGTTTTGGGCGCCCAAACGCTGGGCACCAGGTAGGCCGCCTTGCGTTTTTTGAAACCTTGGTATTTGGGGTTGAGATCCCATGAGAAAAGGGATCTCGCTTTCATGAGCGTTGGGAACGAGATCCTTTATATATGGGATCTAGCTCCAGAATATATATGTTGTACGGAACGTGATCCCAAAATGCCGGAGCCTCTGTCACCCTTTGATCCACCATTCCCACTCCAGATCCCGAAGCCGTTCCCACTCCAGCTGCCGGTACTAAACATTCCATACATTTTCCTGAAAACTGAAGTTCATATATGTTAACCCAATGCGGCTGACATTTCATGTTTCTTTCACTCACTCCAGAGATCATTTAGATCACAGATAACCATCGCCTAAATCATCGTAAACCTAAATCTCCTCGCCAAAAAATCTTGTTTCAGACAGTAAATAGCTACCTCATACCAATTTAATACCTACTTACTTGATGCCCTGTCTAGGTCACACAAATCATAAAGTATTAATTGCTTGCCTCCCCCCCCCTCGTAGATCATAGATGTTGGAGGTGGGAGCAGACTCAGTAGCGGGATCAATTTGAGGAACACTAAACCGCCATAGGGTGGACGCTCCCTGGGGTTAGAGTCAACGTCTGTATATTCAACAAGTTGAGCTAGATCCTAAGATAGCTGGGAGCAAGATCCCTTGTCACTAGGATCAAGGTTTTGACTTGGAAGGATCAAAGCTCACTATGCATTAACGAGATTAATTAATAATATATGATAAAATTAGGATCGAACTAATGCTCGTTCGATCTATTATCATACACCTTAGCTTATTACTAATGCCACAATTATTGTACTCCAATTTACTATAATAATAATACGATTTAACAATATCATAAATTGGCTTACTATGTTATTAAACTAAAGTTTTTTAATACCATAATTCTTGGGTACCATGGTATGATATGCACCACGGTTTAACATATTCTAAAGAAATAAATATATAATACTAAGGAGAGGAGCAGTAGCTCAATTAATAGTATATAATACTAAGGAGAGGAGCAGACTCTATAGACTTTCACAGTCTATAGATTATTATCCTTGGAGGGATCCTACAAGCATGTAGACTGAGGTGAGGTCCCATTTCATAAGAGAGAGATCCCTATTTCTCTAAACCCAGCTCCCTTTAAGACTCCTTAGAGGAACCATAGGAACAAGTTCCTAAGGTGGGACCATGGCCTTACCCCCAAGGTTCCCTCAACTATGTCCTGGACAAGTGCAATACTTTTAGACTGCATTGAGAACCCATCAGCAATCTGTGCACAACACGTCATGCCCTTCCAACAACTCAAAACATCAAGATGGAAATTAGAATGATTACAAAGAAAACAAATTTGACCTGCCATTATGATGCCCGAATACAATTAGCACCAGCACCAGGTTGTGCAAGCAAGAAATGGCTGGATGATGCACTTATATGATGGTCACACCCTACAAAATGGGGATGCAACAACAGCATTCCACAATGAGGGGTGAAGGGTCTCAACCAAAACTCAGACGAGATATGTACAAAGACCTCAATCAAGTGCACTCTGAATGAAATGCAGGGAAAAGAATCAATAGTGTTTTGCTGAAAACCATGGAAGGGTAAAAATATATATATATTGACAGTTAAACTGTGAAAGCTCTATAGAGTCTTAAGTTGATAATAATCTTCAAAATACTACTTATAGCACAACTTAAAATTGGTTAAAATGACACATGCATGGAATCCAAAGATATAAATTAATTGATTAACCCAAGTTTTAAGTCTTCACTTGTCAAGAGATGAAACAAGGAATACCTTAATCATACAATTGCAAAATCTTCTCAGACTATAAATACTTTTGTAGGGAAAAAAGGAATTGGAAAGTGTGGCATTTCTTCTCCCCATTAGAAATTTTTCTTGAAATGTAATGTGTGGCAGCAGCAATAGAAAGACCATGTAAAACTCAATTTAACCAATCAACAATTTCAAAATGCATCTGCACCGACCCATTTGTGGAAAAGAAGTGCAAAAATATGAGACGCAAATGACTGGCTCCATAGTTGGACGATCAAATCAAGAATAGGCTTTCCACTATCAGGCATCTTAGCATAGTGGTCAGCAAGCACATCGTAGAAACACAACGAGCTCTTGATCCCATCCTCTCTTGAAGAAGCTCCATCGTCATCCATGCTGAGAATGATGTCTGGTTTACAAATCGATCATAAGAACATAGAATAGATCAAAGGAATATGACAGGTCTATATCATAATAAATATGACAGGTCTATATCATAATATCACCAGTCCAAATCAACAATGCACCACTAAGATTTTATTCTAACTTCTAACATTTAAAATGTATAAAAAAATCTGAAATGTAAAACCCTATCAAGAAACAGAATTGTGAAGAAGAACCCTTGGCAATCTCCTGTGGTGAGTGGATCATATTTTGGTAGAGGCATCTTAGTCATGTAAGAGTCAATCAATCTCCTTATTTCTTTTACCACACAAAGCTAATGAGCCTCTCCTTATACCGTTGCTAAGAGTGCATAAGGAATGAGCCCCTCTTAGTCTGTTACTACATTAGTGTCAGTTGTCCATGAGATGCCTCCTAGGCGACGTTTCCCTTTCCTATCTCTGCTTTTTGTTCTTTGTCATGTTGTCTGTTAATTCACAATATTATTATATTTTCAGAAAAAAAAAGAGAAAAGTAAAGTCCTGAAAGAACTAAAACCAGAAAAAATAATAGAGATAAAAATACCAAGAGAGCTTACTATTAAAAAAAAAAAAAGCCACATGAAGTACAATTTTCATGGCACATGACATGAAGAAAAAATGAGAAGCTAAGAACTCAAGATAAAGCAGCCAATGGCAACAAATGGCACTTCAACCAAGGGAACTATGACATGAGTGTTTAAAAGTTACATGCTTAAGTATTGTTCACATCTCTCAAAATGAACATATGATGCAGCCTAGAATACGAACATATGACGCAGCCTAGAATACTGCTCTCGAGTACCTAGATAAGATAGACAAGCTTAAAGTCTACAAGAGGAACGGCAGAAGGGTAAAATAGTCATTGGATATTAACAAATGGCTATGAGATTAGATGGATGGCCAGGATTAAGTCTTGTTTAGGGTTTTCTTACATAATACTCGAGCATAATGAGGATCTTGTTATGGACTTTATTCAAAACCCTAGAGCATCCAGTGCTTCATTCTTTTATCTCTAGTTTTTGCATCTTTCTCTAATTTTGGATCGTCCCTATCTTCTTTTTTTGCTAAACCCTAGCTCCAATCTATAGGTCTGCATCAGGTTGGTATCGGAGCTCGACAATCTGTATGGTAGTGTTGCTCTGTATGGTAATGTAGCAATGGTTGTAGTACTGTACTATACGGATGGTACTATAGTACTATATAGACAGTATTGTAGCATCAATTTTTGTGCCCTAGATCAACAATCATGCCTCCGTGTAGATGAAAAGGAGGGAAGGCGACAACCGAAGAAGCCTTTGATGCTGGTTTGCAAGAAGGGATTGCAGATCTTAGGAGATTGGTCAAAACCCTAGCTATGCATTTGGCGCAGATGGAAGCCCCATCTCAGGAGAATGAGCTCAAGGCAGATGATGAATCCATAAATCCCTTCCATGATCAAGCTCCAAGGAGCGAGGTAGCTGTCGTACTGATAGGGATAGTAGGAGGTGGGAAACTGGTCTCAAGGTTGAAATCCCCGAGTTTTATGGAAGTCCATCTAGGGTCAATCATGGAGAAACTTGGTTCTCATCAAATGGTTCTCAAGATCAACACGTTGTGGATTGGGACTCACCACCGGTCTTTGACAAGTACCTAGATGAAGATTTAGGTGTTGCGAAAGAAGTGGGTGATCATAGTTTTAATGGTGATCCAATCCATAAAGAGGATCAAGAAGAAGATCTTACATTGGAGAGGATTTTGTGGATGCTCCTATTCTTGATGAAGAACCAGGTCGACGTCAAGGAGGTGTTACCAAAATATTAGAAATAACTGGTTTCTTTGTCCCTAAAGAAAGTAGTGAGGAGAATGGTATTGTCAATGGTAATGATTGTTCTTCTTTGAGTTCTACTTGAATATGGAGTATCACATTAAGTGCGCCCCAAGGGTTTTGTGATATTTTCCTATGAGCATTTTGTTGGTGAGTTGAATATATAAGGTGGCCATCAAATGTTTGCCTATGTGGTTCCAAATGTTGCAATTCAGCTTAAACCATTATTTTCTTTTGAGTGGAGAACCTCTATATCTAATCACAATGTGCGAATTAAAGGAAATCATGGAGGCAATGCATCATTAATCTTGAGCCGCTTCAAAATTCATGGTAGAGTATTCTCCGATGTGTTCAGGACCAAGTGCGTTGTGCTTATTTACTACAAGTATGGCATATCCAAATGGGCCCAAAACGTGATTAATCCAATGTCTATGGGGAATGCAGTAAAATGACACATGGCATTTCATGATCTCAAGTCTCGTCAAGGTAGGAACGTTCAAAATTTTGAAGAAGATCAATTACAATGCCTACAAATTGAAGCTTCCCAGCCATATTTGCACTTCCAATGTTTTTAATGTCAAACATCTCATTCCATATCATGGTGATACCTCCGATGACGAGCCGCTGAATTTAAGGGCAAATTCTTTTGAGGAAGGGAGGACTGACATAGCCCAAAAAACTGCTCTCGAATATCAAGAAAAGAGAGATAAGCTTAAAGTTCACAAGAGGTACTTCAGAAGGGACAAATAGTCATTGAATCTATCTTTTTATGTCTTTTATTTATTTTTTGAGTCATTTATTTAATTAGGGGCTTTAGTAGTCATTTCTAGAGTCTTTTGTCTTTTTATTTACTTAAAGTCTTTTATAATAAATGATCATGAGATTAGATGGATGGTCAGGATTAAGTCTTGTTTAAGGTTTTCTTATATAAGATATGTACTCAAGTATAGTGAGGATCCTGTTATAGACTTTATTCAAAACCTTAGAGCAGCCAGTGCTCATTCTTTTATCTCCAGTTTTTGCATCTTTCTCTAATTTTGGATCTTCCCTATCTTCTTCTTTGATAAACCCTAGTTCCAAGCTACTAGGTCTGTCTCATCATACATATTAGATATTCCCTTCCTGCTCATCTCTTTTTCTTTTCTTTTCTTTTGGATTGTCTTATACACTGGTAAAATCAATGCTATATATTTAGGATAAATAATCCTATCTAACTAGAAGTCATCCCAACCTCAGTGGGCTTGGCCAAATCCTAGATAGCAATAACAACAATATTAATAAGCTACCCCAACAGTTACATACATAGCAATTTCTACGTGCCAATCAAGGACATCGGGAACCACTGGTGTCACATAATCCCTTGCTTGTGATATACCTCTTTATATATAATGCAATGCACAATTATAAATAATCATGCACTAAAATTGCGGTGAGCGATAGGGATCACAGAAGAAGAAACAAATGTTTATTACTATACCCTACAAGAAAGGAGTATGACAAGATCATATTACCTTGAGCACGAACATCAACCTCTAAAGCTACATCTGTGAATAACTCTTGTAATAAGCTGGATCTTTGAGATTGGGAGTCTAGAGCCTGCAAGAATCACAAACATGAATTGATAAGCACAAACTCTCTAGGTTCAGAAAACATCGTTTAGACAAACACTAGTTGCTACTGAATAATTTTGCAGAACTAGCAGGATAAATGTTAAGATTTCTGATTATAATTAAACACTTCATTCCATAGATTTCATTAAAAAACAACCAAGAAATAGAAACCAGAACTTCACAAGTATGAATGGATTGAATGACCAACCCAGCGTTATCAAGACAAAAAAAGAAAGATTTAGCCATTGATGATTTCCCTTACACAATCAAACCACCAGAAAATCAGTGACTACCTAGTTAACTAGATGCCCCAGTAGCACCAAGATGAAAGCTCTAGAGCCATTTGATGGAGCACAATTGCAGGCATGGGATGCATTTTGCATCCCACCAAAACCCTAATAGAAGCTCGAAGACTATGCTTCAGAACAAACAAAGAAAACATGCAAATTCCAGGTAGAGTATATCTATGATTCAGGACACGATATTCTCCATGAAGCTAGAGGACAGCATTGAGTCTGCTGACTGGAAGGTGGCATTCTTATGTTAACTACCCTTTCATCATTGGTGGATATTCAGACATTAACTAGGCAGCATCCCTAGTGAATGGATATTCAACAACTATTGGTCATTGCACTATGTCCGAAATAACCTGGTCACATTGAGGAAAGAGAAATAAACCAAAATCGCCCAATCCAAAGCCAAAGTTGCCATGACTTCCCCCATGCATGAGGCTTGTATCAAAGCTGTTGATAAGGATTTGAAAGTCTCCTACCCCACCAACAAGTTCTATGAAAGTCAAGTAGCAGTTAAAATTTCCTGAAATCTAGCACTCTATGTGTGCATGAAGAAGTGAGAATTACCATGTCACCTGCAAAAGGTCCCAGCCAAAATCATACACATTTCCAATATCAAAACAGAACTAGTAAACATCTTCACCAATGTTGTGGAGTGACTTTGGGCAAGTTGGGCATGCTTGACACTCAAGCACCGTACTGAGTTGGACAGTAGCGATCCATGTTTCAAATTGTAATAGCGTGCGTGACAGCAAAATCTTCTTGTTCATTATCAGAGTAGAACGTACATAATCCCATGACCTATATATATATATATATATATATATGTGTGTGTGTGTGTGTGTGTGTGTGTGCATATGTGTGTGTGTGTGTGTGTATATATATACACACATATATATATGTACACATATATATAGATATATATACACACACACACATATATATATATATATATACATATGTACATATATATGTATATATATATATAGGGAAAAGATGGGATTAGGCCACTAGCTCATATGAACATATGAGCCCAACGGCCCAGATTGAATCTGGGCCGATCTGACAATCAATAATGTCCGGTAGTATTTGAATTTTTTTTTTTTCTACAGATCCAAATCACTTGAAATTTTAAGTGTGTGTTCTTCTCATCAAGGCGCACCTAATAAAAATATTAAAAACAATTATTCGTGAAAAACAAAATGACCAATATACCCCCAAAACTTTTCGGGGACATTTGGGTCAATTTATTTTATGTAAAATATTTTTTTGATATTTTTCAAAGATT